CTTACTCCAGGTCTTTCAAGTCATGGGTCAGGCATGAGCTGCTAAGCAGAGAGGAAAAAAGATAGAAGTTTTAACCCCAATATGAACTAAATTGTCCAGAGCTAAAAGCGTCAAAATGCTTAACAATCAGTATGGCAGAAACACTGATCCATCAGGACAGAGGCCAGCAGGGTTGCAGAAGTATCTTAGAGGCCTTCAGCAGTACCAGGCATTGGAATTTCTGCTTCATCACGTGTTGGTCTATTTGTCTTAAAGGAGTTGCACTAGTCTCTTCCCAACTCACTGGAAATATTTCAACATTTCAACATTTTGGTAATCAGTATGGTAACCAACACTGGTGCATACTAAATGATTACCAAATATTAGATGACTTCTTAGGAGATTTAATAAAAGGGAGATTTGAAAAATAAAATCATAGCTAGAGGTAGTGGTGATGAAAAATAATACAACATACAGATTGTTTAAAATTGATCTTAGCCAAAAGATAAAGAAGCAACAGGGATTGCTTAATAAACGAGTTATATAGAGATTACATAGAGTTACACAGAGTTATATATTCTGATTATGTATAATGCTTCCAAATTAGAAACAGGAAAATCAGAGTAAGTATATGAAGGGACTTTATGACTTCTGCCATTTTGGTTGACACAAATAGAAACCTACGGGGAAAATTTCATCAGTCATGGAAACTTTTTTGTTTTTACTATGAACGTTATGAATGTCTTGATTCATCATTACTTATTTAACATACCACCTTATCATTAGAATTTTGTTTCTACAAAAGGTGCAAAAGTTTACAGATAAAACTTACAATCTTACCAGTCTAAAACTTGAAAAACACATGAAGTGGAAGCTAATATACAGAAGATATTTAAGAAATAAGTTTCAGGAAGGATGAATTAAGAGTAGACAAAGCTAAGGTTTCAGTGCCTGAGCAGAGCTACAGCTCGTAGAAGAGATGGCAGCACTGAGGGAAGTTTAGTGTCCAATCCCATCCTCTACTTACAACTATTTAACAAATGATACATTGATCCCTGAGGCTTCCTACAAACCACTCTAAACATCTTTTAGTGGTAAAAGCAAAATATATCATCCATCCAATATCTATGATTACAGTTGATACGGCAGAAAAATTACCATATAATAGAGCTTTTTAATCACCTACTGTGAAAAGACAAAATTCATCATTACATAATGGCACTGTACTTGTTCAACTTCCTCAACTATCTCAAACAGCAGAGAACCAGGAGGAAGTTTTTTCTTTTTTTTTTTGTAAAAAAGCCTTTAAACAACAAAAATAAATGTCACAAAGGTCACGCAATAAAACTTATAGGGAAACTTACAGGAAAGTCCCTTTAGTCTGCAGTTAGAGCCTACTTACTCGTGGACACTGTTCTAAATATTGTGGTTACCTATTTTTTATAAAACAGAGATTTGAAGTTGCCGCCTATAAACGATGGTAAGGGGATTGGACACCTTTTTTAATTTTCCATTTTTAACTTAAATTTTGTTAGATACAGGCACATTGGCGTAGGAAGAGAAAGCTGGCACTGATAAAAAGAGATGGAAAATCCATGAACACAAGATACAGGCAAAAGGGCATGACCAGCAGACCAAAGTAAATTGCCCCACATGCTACGAAAGCCCTTGAGAAAAAGAACACATACAATAACTGATGTTCATAAGACCAACCGTAGCAAATAGCAGCATATTCCAAATCCAAATTCAGAATGGCTAAAGAAAATGAGAAAAAATAATACGCATGCTCTTGATCTATGAATAAACTAAAAATCACTCACCAACAACACAGGTAGAAGAGGCAATCCTCCCCCAACAACTTTGTCATTGACATCTCTTTGTGCTGTATGCAACAAAGTAGGTTTTGTTTTGTTCCTGAATGTATGATTCTGCTACAACTCAGAAGCACCATCCCAGAACTTAATCATTCCACAATAGGCATTCTCATCTAAAACTGGTGTGCACAAAATATGAGTATTTTTCACCATGATCATATACTAAGTATACAGACCAGACACCCCCCAAGCAAGTCAATGTTATCTTTTAATCTCCTTCCTCAAGTTAAATCTGAAAATCCTTGTTTTCATATGTGAGACAGGGTCAGAAGTAAGGTTACAAATTAAGTATGGTTTATGAAGCCAACTTATAATATTAGAGGATAAAACTGCTTGTACAGTAAAAGTGGCAAGAATTGCAACCCAATGGTAGGTCAAAAACCAGATACCTAACAATAGTGTAAATGACACTAACCCTTCAAAGCTACTTCTGAACCATGTCCACACGATCCAGTCTAAATCCATGTATGTGGCATTGGCTATACCTATCAATTCTACCTCCTCTTGAAACACCAAGTTAATACTAAAACTAAGCAGCCAGAGGTAACTGACTGAATAAACACCATTAGGGACTTTAGAATACTCAAGAAAAGAGAGTATCATGAGGAGGGGTCCTTGAAGACAAGAATGAGCTGCTATAGTCATAACAATTTGGACATTTCAGAGTTAGAGAAGACCGTTCACAAAATGCTTCAATGCACGAACTGGGTCAATGGGATCTGGGCCAATGGGATCTTCTACGTGGTATCCTCAAGGAGGGTTCATATTTACAGGACTGTACAACTGTCAAAATTGAGAAAGCAAGAGGCCAATAAAAAATCAATCATAATTCAGTAGGTGGGCAAAAAGTTATTCACATAATGGAAAATTTGAAAGTCAAAAAGAAGAAGTAGAAGTAGTAGTACTAATGGTAATGGTAGTAGCGCTAACAAATCTGATTACATTCCAGGGGAACCTTCTTCAGCACCCACCTGTTATCCTCACATCTTCAAACTTTGACGTACAAAAATCAACCTGAGTATGTGCAAGAAAATAGCTCTATATTGCCCCCTAGTGCTGGCCAGTGCCACTTCTCCTTGGGCTAAAAAACTGCAAGTAGTTCCTCTACTTCTAGTTACTTCCTGCCGCCATCCTTAACATAGACCAACCCCTAAACATAGCCCAAAACTCTGCCCACAGATTAGGAAGCAAGCAGCAATTTTTGGCATCCTGCATCTTAGGAATGGAAATGGCCCAGCTTCAGATGGCAACAGAATGTGTGTGGACTGGCTTAATGAATTCATCTCTCCTGAAGGTGTGAACCTACTTGGGTAAAATGGCCTATGACCACATGCCTCACGACAGCTCTGGGCCCCTTACGGAGTGATGACAGCATGTGGAACACAAGAGAGAACTACAAGGAAAGGACAAAGAGAAGCACAGGTTAGCAAAGAGATTCGGGGAGATGCCAAGAAAGGCTTGATAAGACAAGGCAATAGGAGAAATGATATGGGACAGGAACAGTAAAAAATAGAAGCCAGGAAGCCAGGAATATTGTAAATTGTTGTCATTATGGAGGAGCTTGTCTAGTAAGAAGCAATATTTTGAACTGGACATTTATTTTACATGAGAAAGAACAAAAGTTGGTCTGATCTGTTTCCTGCACTGGTACAGCTGGTGCTGTGGCTCCTTTGATCACTTTTCCCCAGTCCTCTGCAGCTACTGTGATTAGAGATAGATCCCTAGGCTGCCCTTTGATCAGCAGCTCAAGGAGCCTGCAGGTGCCATGTGCCATCACATTAGCAAGTTGTAAGCACCACCATACTAATATTGGCTGATAAATGTGATACTATGTCTTGCTGCGCAGCAGCAAATACAAATAATGTTTGCAAAAGTCTGCAGAATCCTTGTTTTATCTATTTTTATACCCTAAAACTTTCTGTGCTTTCTTAAACATGAACACTTCATAGAGTTTAAATTCAAAGTTGAAGGTTTGAAATACCCTGATATGAAAAGGAAAAAAAATCACTGTGACTTAAAACTATAGCACACCCCATTTTAATTTTGCAGTTATGCCACTTGTGTTCATTTTGCATGGTTAATGAAGTGACAGAATCGATGATATACAAAGCAGTAAAAACATGTATATTCCTTTTCAAATAACAGTAAGAGCCACCACTTGTAAACAGGGCATTAAACATTCCAATTTTAGACAGCCTACATGAACATTGTGGTTTCATGTGCAGTATAAAATTTCTATTTACAAAGTATTCTCAAAAATGACTTCATAATGGTAGATGAAGAGAAAAAGAGTTTAGAAATTGAATGATGTAAATCATCTGGGTTCAGAGGCTAAGCAAATTACACACCCTGAAGCTGCCCTGGCTTTATGAAAGGAGCCTTTCTCCAGCTCTGTGCAATCCCAGCCCAAGGGAACTTGCATCTGAGAGTTTTCTAAACATTTCAGGTACACTTGAAAGCTGAAAGTAATTCTCATTTCCTATGCAGGATTAAGTCGCTTCCAGCACACACAAAATAGCAGTCATTCACCGACACATACAAAAACACACCACCAGAAAGGTAAGGACTTCAGAGTACAAAGGCAAGTTTAAAAAACAAAAAATAGGGCGCAAGAGAAATACACTTTTTAATTCCTCTAAAAACGACCACACAGCCTCTTGACCTCTATATTTCCTATCTACTCATTGATTAATTGATGACTTCGACCCTAGAGTGCTTCAATTCATGCGGCTGATACATTTCCTGACCGACCCCCCTCGCCCTCCCCAAATCTGAATAAAGTCAAACATGCCAAGACTCATTCATTTTGGATTCGTTTTTAGAGGCAGTTCTTGAACTTCTAACTCTGGCAATGAGCGAACCTGCAATGTGCATTTGAACTGAGGTTCACAATCGCTCCCAGAATGTCCTCACTCTAACTGAGGCTGCAGTGGCACTCACGTTGCCCTCTTGGAGCTTTGTGGCAGCTCCTGAAGTTGCAAACTACACTTAACCTTCAACAGTCCATGCCAGTGAACGGAGCGCGCATTTGCATGTAGAGACCAAAGATACCTTCGCAGTCTGGTATACATCACATACCAATGCACAATGCCAACGTTAACACACACAGCGAGAAACAAGCAGGGGGAGAATGGGGGAAAGACTCACCGTTCTGTTCCTTGTTGCTGGAGAACTGGAATTTACTACTCAGGTTGGATTCCGCCTGAGTCCCCTGTCTCTGGCCGGCCAGGGCAGATGTCAGCAGGAGAAGCCTGAGGAGGAGCATTTGGCTGACTGGGACGAGAGTTCACTCACGGCGGGCACTTTGGAAGCAGCGACTCCCGAGTCTCTTTCACCACCGCCTGGGGAAGGCTGCACTGGGGTGGAAGCGCCGAGCCTGCTCTGGCAGCAGAGAATCGCAGGGTAGTTTCCACATAATCCCATCCAAAACTTTTTCCTAGAGCCCTCTTCTGTGTCTCCAGTTTTTGAAAAGGATCAAAGCAAAACCTGGACCTGAACCAGTTTCCCAAGGTTTAAACAAATCCTGAGCTGTGGCGAAGTGGTGGGGGTGGGGGTGAAGGCGAGGGAGGAATGAGGGGGTGGGGACGCGGGGGAGCGGCGAGAAGTCACCAGCAAGTTGCTGGGAGCACCTGTCAGTTCGGGGGACAGGACAGAGGCGAAAACTCAAGGGTCGCGAGCAGCCAGACTGGAAGCCAAGTCGGCGGCGAGCAGTTTCTGATCAATAACAAAGCTGCCAATAGATGCGGCTCTCCGTGCGCCCCTCTCCCCCGCCCCACCCCCCACCCCCGAAGGGGGAGGGGGAAGAAACAAGGCGAGGGCGCCGCGGCGGGTCCCACGGGCCGGGGCGCCGGAGCGGGGCCGGGGGGCTCCGGGCCGAGACCGACCCAGGCGCAAGCGGAGAGAGGCCCCGGGGCTCCTGCTCCCCAGCCCGGCGCGCAGTCGGCGCCGCGTCCCGAGCGCCGCAGCACGGATTCCGGCACCTGGCTTGAGTTTTCCGCGACCAAAGTTCACCTTGTTCGGGCGCGTCCCCTGCTCCTCAAAGCCTGGGGCAATTCGGCCGCTCCGGGTCGCCGCGGGGCTCCGGTCGTTCCCCTCCCCTCCCCCCACGCCTCAGGCTCCGCGCTAACCTCGGGGCTCGGCGCGGCGTCTCCGCACGGGGTGAAGAGGGAAGGCCGGGGCGGCCGGGAGGATCCGGCTTGTCCCCTCCCCTTCTCTACCTTCCCCCCGCCGGGCGGCAGACAGGAGGTGGGGGCCGTGGGCCGAGTCCGGGCGGAGCGCGCGGCTGGCGAGCGGGGGAGGCTCAGCGGCTCTCCCGCAGGCGGCCGATGGGGCGGGCGGGGGTCGGCGCCTCTGGGAGGGGCAGCCCCGGGCCGCGTCCGCGCGAGCGGGCTTGGCCGCCCACTGGCTGTCAACAGGTGCTGCGCAGACAGGGGGTGCTGCGGGACTCGCTGTGGGCAAGACCCCGATGGCCCAGGCGAGGAACGCGGCCAAGGCGGCCCCTGCTTTCCTTTCCACGGAACACCTCTAACCCCAAATACAGAGCACGATGGGTGGTGAAGGGTGCTGCAGAAGTAAGAAGTGGGAAAGAACTTCTTGCAACTCTCCTTCTGCCGCCCCCTGTCGCCTGACTTGCCATTAGTTTCCAAGAGGCATCCCCACTCCCTACGGTCTTTGCTAGGACCCTTGGCCAGAGTTTCAGAACGGAAAGAAGGGAAATGAATTCAAAGGTTTTTCTCCAATTTCCAGCTCCCTAAAGCAGGACAGAGAAAGCAAAAGTAAAGGCAGCCAAAACAATATTCATTTAGCAAGTACTACATTTACTGAATGCCCACTCTGTCGGGCACTGTTTAGAGGCTGGAACCGTAGCAGTGAAAACAGACAAAAGTCCCTGCCCTGGTGAAGCATACGTAGTAGTTGGGCAGCGTTAAGCTAATAGCAAGCTCTTCTGAGAACGGCGTCTAAGGGACTCAGAAGGATCCTGCAACCTTGGACTTTCCTACAATACAGCTTCTAACAAAACTAGGCTGCCCTGAACCCCTGTTGATAGAATTGTTTACATTTACACCAAAAAGGTCGAGAAATAACCGAAATTTGTATGCGGCTTGTGTTCAGGCTGACTTGGAGATTGAGGCTGATGCTTTAAGACCTAAAGTTCTTATGAGGTAGTCTGAAATGAAACACACATGCCAAGCAGGGCCTATGGTGGTTCCATGTCTGCTAAATGTGTCTGTGACAGGACCCAACGTGCTTTCTTTGTGAAGAAGCAGAAAATCATTGTGAATGTGTTGAAGGCACAAGCAGAGAGTCAGAAAATTGAATTTTAAAATGAAGCTACTTTTGCGTAATAATCAAAATGAAAACAATATATATCAAGTAAGTGCCATGGCAGGCAAATCAGCAATATCACCCAACTTCTTGTGGAAAAAAAAGTCAATGCAACAATTCGACCATCAAGGACACTTGGGCTGGAACAGAAAACCAAAATAGCAATGTCCCTGAAACTAAGGAGTGGCATTTGAGCAAGAACATATTCTTACTGGACCAAAGCAGGAGCTGATCCTTCTTCAGTGGTGATGAAAATGCCAAGCCCTCTTTGTATACTCAGACACCGACTGGGGCCAACCAACCAGACCTTTCTGCTTGAAATATCCTAGTCGTCTTGTTTTTTTCCTTTTTGAAACCTCTGAAAACTTCACCGATCTGTCTCATTCTTGAAAATTTCACCCAGCTGTCTCATTCATTCATTCTTATCCCTTTACCACTTCTATCTACAGAGTACTAAATATACATTAAAGGCAAATAAGGCCTGATCTTTGACTTTAAGGAATTTACAGTTTAGTGGACAAAAGGTTTTTTTAATCAAGTATGGTATTTTATTCGAGTTAGCAGCTCCACAACACCAGTGTGACTCCATATTTGCATAATATATTCCAAAAATATTTTGTAAATTTGTGAGGGTGAAGGTTTTATTCCCAATTTTAATAACATAATGGGACTTAAATAAAAGACATGCCTTATGAATCCATTGTAATCTATTTGTCATAAAATTCATTATTCTCCAGTTTTTCTAATTTTGTGTGTTTGGTTTTCTAATCAGCATTTTTCTAAATGAAGTTGTTATACATCCACAGAGTTGAGTTTCCTGACCACCCACATAGAGGGTGTGTGTGTGTGTGTGTGTGTGTGTGTGTGTCTGCAAATGTAATCCATTTGCTCTCAGGAGATTGGACGGGTGATGACTACTCTTTATTTTGTATCATTTCATATTGGCTAGAACAGTGCTTGGCACAGGGTGGTAATAAATAAACACTCATGACTGACTGACAGGTTTCTTTATTGGAGTCACTTACATTCTCCCTGGAATTTCAGCGCAATGGTTGTATTTGAAAAGTTACAGATGATCTAGAATAATACGCTACCTCTGCGTTTCACCTCATCCATATTCTACAGATTGATTTGACAATTGCCTTATAAATAAAGTCAGCCAGGTGTTCCTGAATGACCCCTAGACAAAATCACATCCACATTGGCCAATTTCCTTTCAATGTACTTGCATTGTCATTTCTTGAACTGCTCTTGCCCTTGACGTAGTTGATTCTTTTAACATGTTGTCCTCTGCCTGTCTTCCTGCTCTATTTTGCTTGTTAACATTTTCTAGAAAAATGAAATCTTTGCATTGAAAGTAAATGTTATTTAATCCAGAGTCTGTGCAATTACTAAACAATATATTTTAAATGAATATGGCTTTGTTTTGGCCAAAGCATTTTCCTTGATGAAAGGCATCTGTTCCACCAACCAAGAGAAAATAATTTCAAACATTCTTTGTGGTTTTCATGTTTTCTTAAACCTTAAGAAGGAGTGCCCGTTGCTGCTGCATGCATGAAGAGTATTACCTACAAATTCTTATTAAAGAATATACTTGGTGGTTAACAATGATAATTTGGGGGAGGGGGTGTCACTACTAAATTTTTTTAAGTGAAATAAGATTTTACAGCAACCTACTCCTTTAGCTAGTCACTTAACACCCAAAGGGGCAGGAACCATGGGGACATATTTTTGCCACCAAAACAAACCATATCTACGTTTTTTTGCTCTTTATTTTTCTGTTTTGATCCTAAGACACACACACACGTGCATGCACACACACACACACAGAGGCATATGTGCAAAGTTGTTTTAAGACTTTTCCTAGGACTTTTCAGTATTTTAGTGGCAGATAATTGAGCATGAATTCCTGAAGTTCAGAAAGCTTTGTTCTACCTGAATACTCATTGTGTTTTGACAATGGCTGACAAGTAACAATTTTATATATATACAAATATATATATATAAGGCAGGGCTGGGGATATCATTAGTAGGCAAAGTAAATGCCCACAGACCACAGCAGGAATAAAGACTGTGTTAGGAAGTAAATAAATAAATAAAGTCAGTAGTCTGTCTTAGAGTCATCCTCTTTTCTCTCCACTTTTTCAACTACCTCATCTTGAGAAATACGACCCGCTATCTCTAGGTTACGAGGATATATATCAATACCCTGTTTTTCAAACCAAGAAATGAGACACTTTTCATTACATTTTATTCTGCTAGCATCAGGTAGCTTTTACCTCCCCAGTGTATCAAATGCTAATCTGAGAAGGGCTTACCTGCTGTGGCTGAGGGTAGAGGGTTTTGCTGAGGCTCTGCTCTAGAAGAAGACACACTTTGTCATTCTGACTTTCTTGGGGAATGGATTTGGAGGATGGGGAGTTAAGAGAAGTGTGGCCTGCAGAAATGGACTTCAGTTGGCTCTCTGTGGCCTTTCCTTTTGAAGTAAAGCTGCTATTTCCTTATTGAAATCATGACTTAGTATGCATAGATTTTTCCAAAATCTTAGAAGTGTTTGTCTGACTCAGAACTCAGAGGGAATAACTAGCCAGAAACAGCCCCAAAGAAAGAGAAGCCCTAGTAACCTTTGAACCACCACAACAAAAGATCATTTCACTGGGAGATAGGAGGTCAGGGACTTAAGTCTGGCTTTACCACTAATAAACAGTACAACCTTGATCTAGAAATCCTCTCTGCCCCTCAGTTTCCTTTTCCTTACATGAGGAATTGCCACTGGATTCTGTCTTGGTCCCCCTACTGCTTTAGAAATTCTCTGAGCTATTATAGATAATAATGGCAAGACTTTTTCATCTTCAGTGTGCTTCTGTGATAATAAATTATTAGCACAAGTTTCCTAGCCTCATATCAGAGGTGTCTTTGTAGCTGGCAAAACAGATGATGAACAGGTGCTTCTTTCTAAACTTGCTCAACTAGAGCAGTCCTATTGTATCTGTTATTGTCATGGTTTGAAAAAACAAGTTCTAATGGTAATCAGAAAGAAGAGGGGAAAAGAGTTTGGAAATCACCAGCTACAGCAATTATACAGGAATATTATTGAATTCAAGGAAAATAAATAAATACCCAGGCCTTCAATAGGTGCAGGTAGTCATATTTTACTTTTCAGTATTTGGTTGTAATCATGCTAACAGACTCAAAAGAGGCAAAGTGCAGTCGTAAGTGGAGTGTCAAGGTAAAAAGAAATAGCTATTGTACATAACTGAGTTGTAAACACTAAGGAAATAATATTGTTGTTAGCCAAGAACAGATGGCCAAACTCATACTGTTCTATTGAGTCACACTGGTGGAATGTGAAACAATCTGGAGAGCAAGGGGTATCCCCTAAAAACGTGGACAGCAACGCTATGTTTGGCCATGTCTTAGAGTCAATAAGA